TAAATAAATGTTTCTATACGAATTAAGAATCTATTCAACGTTTGTTTGTTGCAATACCGTGAAATAAATTGTATTATATATTTTCTCAGTTTAGACTGAATTTAAAGTTCGTAAGGATTAGAAATCAGGTTGACCTGTGGTCGTAGATTAAAAATAGCCATAGTGAAGGTAAAATTATTACGTTAAATAATTGTTTTTATACGAATTAAATATTGATTCAACGTTTATTTGTTGCAATACCGTGAAATAAATTGTATTATATATTTTTTCTGTTTACACTAAATTTAAAGTTCTGTTTACATGTTATAACAATTAGAATGTAGACGTTTTGCCGTTTCACGGTTTTTCCTCTGTTAATTATGTGTTTATAAATCATTTCAAACTAAAGCAGCACCATGCCCACCCTTAATTAAACCGTCTCAGTAGTTTACCGTAATTAATAATCTATTTTCGGAATTTATACGAGAATTTTTGAATTTTAGTAAATACTAGAGTCAGTGTCCACCCTGTACACACTCAGCCTTCTTGTAACACTTGTATACATTAGAATCAATTAGAATTTCAATACAATAGACTGAATAACAATTCATTTTAACTAATACCTATTAGAAATTTTCCTTTTAAAACAAATATAAATCATTTTACCAATTACTGGTACTTGCTAGACATTTAATATCAGACTTTAAATATTCTCCTTTCGGTTCTTTTAAATACAATCAAATAATTTCTTCAATTATCGATACTGACTTGGAATACTCCGTTTCGAATAAAATATTTCGAAATTATTTTGAAGGTTTAGGGAAATAAACATTTGAATTTTAGTCATCGTTGTTCTTCAGACTTGTCGAATAGGATATTGAAATGACTTTGAGTGGTTGCTTTTTCGTTAGGGCATAACAATCAATATGTACTTTTCTTCCAGCAATTGAAATTAATTTGAAATTTTTCATATATTTTCTCTGATATTGAATTTATTTTATGACTTGCTATTTTGTTTACTAATAATTTACCATCCAAGGAATTTGCATGAATTGCATGTTAAGTAGTTAGTTGATTTATTATTGTATATTGTGAGATGATTTGGAACGAGTGCACTATGCCCACCCTAAATTAAACCGTCTCAGTAGTTTACCGTAATTAATAATCTATTTTCGGAATTTATACGAGAATTTTTGAATTTTAGTAAATACTAGAGTCAGTGCATCGCGTATTGAAATAATAGCTTCATCCCTAGTTCGTTTATTATTGAATATTTTTACGCGTTTAACTTATGCTTCTCCCCAATTCTCGTCGCGTATTTTATTCAAATTTTCTTATATTCTAGAATCGAAAAAGATACGAATTCGCGTTTTTTCTTTTGATTCTTTCAATTTTTCAATTGTATTACGCATTATTGCAATAATTTCTATCGTTACATTTAATTCTAATTGTTTAGTAGCTTTTCTGCTGCTATGGAATCGACCCTGCATTTTTTTTTTTTTACGTGGAGGTAGGCCGACTCTATGTGATAAACAATTGGCAACCAAACGGTGGCTCGCTAAAGCGATATATTATGAAATTAAATTAATCACTCAATAAGTATTAACATTAGATTGTTTCCTCGATATGGCCATGGTGGTCATCAGTGACTGGAGTGCCTCAAATGTTTAGAATAATTAAAATAAAATAAATGTTGTCAACTAAAAATTTTGAACGTCATAGCTAGCTAGACATTATTTTCAATTGAAAAAAAAAATTATAAAGCATAATACTATAATCCTATGCTTAAAATGTATTTTCTTGTGTCCGCCTGACAGCAACCTGTAAATCTGGCATGACAGCGAACGTGTTAATAAGTAAATGTTGTTCAAATTATGTCGTGTTTGATGTCATTTTCATCAGAAAAATCTCAACGATATGTTACGAAAAATTTTGGGATAAAAGAACGTAAAATTAAGAAAGTTCATATTTAAATCGCTTGGTTGCCGCGTCTCACGTGTCATGCTTATCTTTTATTCGCTGTCCTTGTCTACGTTCGGCAAACTGCAAAGGCGGGCGCGAGGCTCGAAAACGTAGTCCCTGACTCTACAAGTGTCAGGTTTAGCTTCCTTGCGGTCAGACACTTGTGGAGAATATACTGTATCGTGTTTTGCTTGACCAGTGTGCCTAATTTTATACCTAAATGTCCCTGTTTATTTAATAGGTTGCACATTTACAGCATAGGATTAGGAATATGAAACAGGCAGAACACAATAACTTTCATTTACTCAGCGAGAACAATAGATAGGGACGCACACTTAATAAATATTAAGGAACAACTAAAATAGGCTGTATTTTACATTCTTATACTTACAAGTATTTATCATCACTTCTATATTTGGTCAAAATTGTTTTTATACTTAATATTTAACATTCAAAAAGTATATAAACATTTTAAAGTCATATTATGACAATTTAGTACAATAAATTATCTTAAATTTGGAAATTTGACTTTTGGCCAGGATTTCGACGAATTCAGCCACTGTGCATCGCCTGGGTTGTTCAAATTGCTTCTTGGACATGTACGTTCACCGGCATTATCATTTTAAACGACAGAAAAATCACGTGATAAAACCTCACTGTAAATGATGAAAATTCGATATTAATGTGAAAAAAATCCAACTCGGCCAAAAGTTCATTTTCGTTCACTACTAAACGTCACCATTTTTAATTTACGTCACTTTCTGTACTTGAAGACTATTAAAATTCGATTTTTCGCCGCTAACTATCATTATCCACTATTTCACACATATATTTTCTTACACATGGAGCAACAGAAGATTACTTTCTAAGATAAAAAAATATGACATCAAACAGAGATTCTACCATTTCTAACAATAAGATCGACCAATTCGAACGAAGATATACTTCGACGAATTGAATACTTCACCAATAATATCTAACGGGTGATCTTTAATTCAGAAAAGATATTCGTGGAATTTGACACGAGATCTCGAGAAAAGAAGCGAAGAAAAAGTATCAGACAGGGTTCATTACTGAATCCAACCGAATATTAAGATCATGGCGGGCGATACGCAGCCCCCCGAAGAGTTTCTGAATCATCAGGCCCCGGAGTTCGCCACCCCCGAAGAATTTTCGGTGAGACAATGGCCCGTCTACGTCGCGGTTCTCTCCCGAGATAAGAAATGACGCGATTGTCGATAGAGAACGCTCATTTCTCCTGCGCGAGAGCCGCAAGGGGCATCAGATAAAACGTTTAGGTAGCCACAATTGGCCGACGATCAATTTAAGATACAGCTCTCTAGCGTGATAAATGGAAATAGTGATTTCCATGGGATCGTCGACTAATTCGGCAGGATTTCTCCTCGTTGCAAAACATTACGCAAGCATCGAGGAATCTCGTAGCAAACAAAGGTTTTTTGCCACGCAGATTTCAGTGAAAACTTATGTTGTTGTTCTCCTTTTTACTTATTTGCGTAGAATTTGTTTTTATACCCTTTTTTAATATAAAAGCTGCGTTTTATGTCGCGAGGAACTTCATATTCGAGTCAAGTAACAGAGTCGATATTTAACCCTCCATTGGCAACCTAAATAGGTCACTGATGCCCCAAGCTAAACTTCATTCTTGTATTTCTTCGAAAAGAATTTTTATTTGTATTGAAAAAAGTTTGAAACATTTGACTTAACGAACAATTGCATAAAGTAGTAGAGACTTTGATAAGTATCCCAGAATTTTTTCGGATTTCTCTAGAACCTAGAACCGTAAGAAAATTCAACATACCGAGTTTCAGAAAATATGTTTACCTACGGAGGGTTAAATATCAAAAGATAATTTTACTCGCGATAATAATTATTGCAAAATAATCTTAAAGCCGAAGAATTCCAGAAAATGTGAAATTCATAAAATTCCTCGTTTCTCCCTGCATTAAACACAAACGAATATACTGAAAAGCTTTAATTTACCAGCGGTACCATTTCACATACCCCTAAATCAACCCTCTAACGATAGTTTCTTTAGTCAGAAGAAAACTCTAGTTGCAAGGACGCAAGCCATTATGCAAATGTGAAATAATAACACGAGGTTGAGCCACAGTCACCGGTGAAATTGCGTCGTTGGCGAAAAAGAGACTCGCGTCGTCCTTTCGCGAGCTGGTACCGAGCTGGTCTCGATTCTAATTGTTTAGGAATTGCGCGAATCGCGACCAATTAGCGACATGCACCACGACGACGAGGAGGATTGCACGGAATTGCCCGGCTACGTAAGGGCTAACCGAAATGGCCCAGTAATTTAAATTAATACGATGGTCGAGAACGGCTGATATAGCCGGCTCAAGCAACCCTCCCCTCGACATCATGTTGGAACTTCTTTAACGTCCTCCTTCTAGTGCGGTGGGAGCCCTTGATTACACGCTTGATACCTCGCGCATGAAACATCCGAGCGCACGCCACCGTGAACTCAACGAGGTTTAGGTTTACAATGGCAAATCATTTTTTCATTATTGTGACTAATTATTTTTTTGATAATTATTTCTTGGTATGATTGATTGTATTGAAATGTTTTTGGATTTAGTGGAGCAATGGGGAGAATTTAACAGAAATATTGCTAATTAGAGAGTTCACCGTTACTATAGCAAAATTTTTAAAGAAAGCTACGAATTCCTACGAAATTTATATTCAAACATAATAAAAGAGTCTGATTTAATGAAATCGCGGAGATACAGTAAACCACCCTATATATTAAATCTAGGACTATTTTCGCAAGGATTACCTTACAAAGAATTTTTTTATGCTCAACTCGTATTTTCGTATTAATAAATATATACTTAATACTAAATGAATAATAAGTATAGGTATATTACCATGTTCACTGTCCAAGGAGGAAGTACAAAATTAATTTAACTTAGTGGTTCAAAGAAATGATAAATTATCTCATCCATTTTATAATACATTCTTTATACTTAAATAACATTATTAATTTAATTATTTTTGTAACAATTCAAACAGATTTCTTTCGAACTGACCTGAGTCACACATGTACGTGGTCCTGCCGAATAATATGTAACAGCATACACATGACTCCTTGTGAAAAAATAAGAAAAAAATATAGACTAAAATTTTTTCATTCTCGTCTTAGTTTTCGAGAAAATCGAGTTTGAAAATCCACTGTGTACGTATGTGTGCTGTTACGGCTAAAGTACGTTTCATCGAGCAAAGTATAACGCGTATCGTGTTGATAAAATAAAATTTTGCTTGTGTTTGTTCTTGAGCTCGATACCTTTTAAACGACATTGTTTACAAATATGATACGCGTTATACGTCGCTCGACCAACCGCATCTTAGCCCTAACAGCATAAATACATAGGCTGTACGTAGCGGATTTTCAAACTCGATTTTTTCGTAAGGAATCACGTTATGCCCACTTTTACATATTATTCGGCCGGACCCTATATAGTTCAATGGACAGTGAACGTATTAATTATACGTAAATTTAATACACTGCCAACCAATTTTCCATGACATAATCCATAAGAAATATTTCTGCAAAAATAATCCTTAAGAAATTTATTTCAAGAAACTTCATTTCTTCTATACTTTTAAATAGGAAATCGTACTACTGCAGCTAATCAAATATAAATTTAAGACGGCTAGCAATGTATCAACGCTTAACGAAACCGAAAGAGAGTACTCACCACTACACCACTGCAGCAGGCACACCCACGCACAGGTCACCCCTACGCCATGTTTGATACCGCTAATTTTCTTCACGTTCATGGAAACGATGGTTTCACGACAGGAACAAGTTCCCGAAAAGTTGTCGACTTTCCGCGAGCGAGTAATTTAGAGGACGAAGACGCAGCACGACGGGCACATTTTGCATCTTTCGCGAGACGTCGACTTCGTGACACGTTAAGAAATTGTCTGCGAGTCCTTTCAAACTTTCTGACGGGCGCCACGTTCACAAAACTTTCGGAAGTTTAATAAAACGAGGCGGACAGGACGTTCCAATTCACAAAAATTCACACGACACACGAAAATTCACCGTCCGGGAACGAAACACGAGTAATAACGACCAACTGCCACAAGAACGCTGTGAACACTGAGAGAAGGACAACGACACGAAGTGGTACGAAACGAAAACTGTTGACGCTTGATTTTTTTTTAACTATGCTCGATCGTAGGTATACGAGAATGTCAGGGGTACACAGAAACACAGTGATATTTCACTTAATATTGAGCTCCACGTGAATTCGACGTGGTAAGTTTATTGTGAATAATTAAAAAATTAATTAAACTTACCAACGTAATGATCATGCCATGCCAGGACACCGCACAGAAGGGCCAGGGTCTTTCCACTGCCTGTAGGACTCTCCAAAAGACAGTTCTCCTTTTTTACACAGCCTTGTATTAGCTATAAACACAATTGTTATTCTTTATTAGTAAATAATGTGTGCATTATTTCATTGTTTTTTATTAGATCTCTTACCTTATTCATTACAGCAACCTGGCAAGAGTAGGGCTTCACAGGAAGCTTCACTCTGATCCCAGATATCAATTGCTCATGTTGTATTCCCACTTGGGGCACAGGATCTTTGTTGAGTTTACCTTTACTCTGAGGTTCAGTTTTGTGAATACTCTTATGCTTTTTGTGGTCTTTCTTGTGTTGGAACCATCTTAAACCTTGATTGGAATCGTCGGAAGAGTCAGAGTCAGTGTGAATGTTACGGTCAAAGTTTTTCTTTTGCTGGTTCCAATTAAACATGGAAGTTCCTGGCTTAGAATCTGTGTTAAATAATGGTTCTCCTATGTCTTCATCAGATTGTATACTGTCTGTTGACTTTTGAAACTTCAACAGTGTCTCTTCACTATAATTTTTATTCAACGTAGAGGAAACTACTGGTTCTTGGCCACTCTCTCTTATTTTATGAACCTCAGAGCCATCACTCTCATCACTCGATATTTCAATGGTACTACTTAGTTTTATCGGGGATAGATTGTTACACTCAAGTTCCTCATTTCTCAAATCTTGCCTTTTAAGGCTTAATTTACTCATTCTGTAAACACACAAGTACATCACAAGTTAGAATTCCCCAAAGACGAATCTGTATATTTTAAAGATTGGATATTTACACAAAATATATATTATTGAAACATTGGAAACTATTTTTAACAGAATCCTGAAGTGTCATCCAAAATAAACGAGAAAATGTAACTTAAAAGAGAAGCAATAAGGTAGTATAACCTCAAATGTCGTGTGCTATCACGTGTACTACTACGCACCTTGATTCCTCGACCCACTCTTCGATTTTGAATTTAATCACCGTGTAAATGACGAATCCGATTACTGCGGTAATTACATAAATCACTAGCATCGATCAACACTAATTAAATTGATCAAATAATACTTGACAGACGTTGTACACTCGACACACGTTGTACACACGACACACGTTTGCCGCCTTTTTCTACGCTACGATAACACGTTACTACGCAAATTTTCAATCCACGATTTAATGCAAGTTTTAAACAACTCGTTTCCAACAATTCCCTAGACTGTATTAAACATACAAATTACGTGAATTACACTCCCGCGCGAAATAAATAAACTTCAACTTTTCAAATGGTCACATGACTACAGTGTCATGCGTTTCGACTTGAGAATTTCTCGCGCGAAAAAGTACAACATACCGTCTTCCCTATTTTAAATTATAATTATACACTATCAAAGATATATTATGAAGAAAAAATTACTTAAATATTATCATTACATTCAATATTAGACCAACCTTTATTGTCTACAAAAAAAGTTTTATCATTTGACATCAATTTGTAATACCGCCACTTTTCCCCCCACCACTTCAGTACCACAAATATCGTTCGAACTGCACTTGATACCTCTAAATCAATTTTAAACCGAACGAAACTTAATTTCTCCCCGTCACTCACTTTCACAAACCATAAAAACGAGCAGCCATCAATTTTTCGACGGTTCTCAAGTCTCCGGCTGTCCACTTCGTGGTCATTTATACGGGACATTATTCCGCACAGATCTCCGCCGCGGAAACATAATTTCTGAGGCGAACAGGATTAGACAGGTGAAACGCGGAGGCCCTCGATGTTGCTCGGCGACCTTCATAAAGAAGATGCTACGTCTACCCAGTGTCCAAGGAAAGAAGATAGAGGAATATAATTTCCGCGTGTGATTTATGCCTGTTGACCGGGTCCAACGTATCAAACTTCTGATTTACGTGGCTGTTGTGTCGTCGTTTCGAAAGCGGCCCCCATCAAAGGGGGCCACGGAATTTAAAAGCCATCCGGCGCGCGTGCGACTGGAATAAGGAATTTCACGTCCAACGGAGAGAGAAGCATCTCGCGCTGACATGAATCCTTATCAAATTATCCGAAATTCCCACGCGTAAGTATACACACGTTCATACGTGTACGTATGTATTGGTATACGTATGCGTGTATTCACGTTTCCATATCGCCAGGAGCGTAGGACGTCCAAGAGAGGAGGCACCGTGTCACGTATATGCAATGAAATTACTCAGCCTCGCGGAGCATTTTCAACTCACGTACATTTACTGAACGATCCTCACCGAGGAGTCCTTGCGTTTTCACACGGTTATGATGTATATCTTAATGATAACACGCTGCGCGCTGGGAATACGCCTCCCTCGATCCTCTCGATTCATTTTTACCACTGTTGTTTCATTTTACAGAGGTACGAGGAAGGAAGAGTTCGTGGATTCGTTTGGGGAGGGAAACGGAAGAATTCTTTTTCTAGAGAACTGAGAATATTGTAAGTCTAAGGGAAGAGGATGTCTAAAGTTCTAAAATATAGAAAGCAGGCCGTAAAACTTCGAATAGTCGAACTGCTTAAATCATTTCGGTAATTTTTAATACAGATAATTCGAATAATTCTGATAACTTCGAATTGTTCAGCTATTCGAATACCCGTAAAATTCAGATTTCAACTTCGAATATTCGAATACCAGTAGAATTCGGATTTCAGCATCGGATAATTGGACTATTCGAATTATCCGAATTCGTATTCGAAATTATCCGAGTTAGTCGAATAGTTGAATATTCAAGAACTAAAGGTACGAGGGTCCGTTAAAGAGTTCGTGGTTTAAGTATGAAGGACTATTGCCAGGTGGTTGCAACTTTTATTGTATAATGTGCAATCATTTGTGTACTGATATATAGAGCCTCGTGGCTCCGTCATTTTTTCTTTCTCTTTTACAGTTAACGAAGTAGAGGTGTTTGCAGTGACAGAGTGGAGATGGACAAAAGTGGAAAACTTGCAAAGATCTTGCAAGACCCTCTAATCGACCCTTGCACGTTAAATTGAAAGTTTTATCTTCATTCTATCTGTCACATGTATAACAGGCATCGCTCGAGTTGCGGTAGACCTTTAAAGCAATAAAGGAAACCAGCGAAAGTTCCGTACCCGAGCGCAACCTTCCACCTTCAATAAAATAGCCATTTTACTTAGGATATCTGGACAGCCGGTCACCGCATGGGCGAGATATCGTAAACATTATTATTTTTCAGCATCTGCTCATTTCCAGAAATCCTAAGACGATTTTACAACTAAACAAATCCAAAATTCCTCTCTCCGTCACCTCACAAACCACACCCATAGCAAAATAACTAGACCAATCAGGAAAACACACATCCACCTCCACATACACTATTACACCAACAGCGAAATAGTAGCCAATAGTTAATAAAAGACAGTTTTCCAGCGACACGACAGATACACCTCAACTCTTTCGAACAGTGAACACCATTACATTCTTGCACAGGCATACATTAAGGGGTGAGGACACAGTAACAAGTGGGTAGAATAGAAGATTTTTAAACGACAGTACAGCAAAACGTGAATAATCGATTAATATAAAATTTTGTATTTCAATTTACTATACTATGGACTATTAAAAAATGGTTGTAATATTTAAAAAATAATTTGTTCCTATGCCTTTCGCTCGGAATATCTTTTCTTCCAGATGGCCAACTGGTGTACAGGATTCCTACAAATCGAATTAACTATATCCAGAATCCCAAAAGTGTCATAAACTGTGATATATTCTCTAGGCATTGACGATCCCACATTTCAATTTTTATGAAAATTAACAAAATGGCAGGTATTTTAAATTTAACGATTGAATTTCGGTAAAACGTTTGTTACTTGTTTATTTATATTTCACAAAATAATGGGGAAATGTAACAAAATCGATCGTCAATGCTTAATAGATATTATAGTAAAGATAACTGTAAAATTTTAATGTAATTGCTAAGGTAGCACTCGAGATATCTTGTACACCGTTTTGAAAAACGCATCGGTGCGTCACGGCGCGCAGGTATACGAATTCACTCTCGAAACGGTACTTAGAGAAATAATTTGTATCGAAGCCTGGAATCCATGTAAAACCTTTTGCATTCTGTTCTCAAGACTTGAGACTACTGTTTAATATATTAAAATAGTTACTATTAAATAGCTACTATTAAATATTAAAATAATTAACTCTTTCGTGCATTATTTCCCGTGCACTACCGAAGTCCCGTATCCCGAGTAAATTCCTTGAGTGGTTTGATTCAAAAAGAGGGACAACGGGCGGTTGCGCGATCCGTAACATACCACTACCGGCCAGAAGTTTGGAATCACTGTGCATTGCAAGTTACAGAAAAATTCCCAGAAAAAAGTCAGCAGCTTTAAGAATTTTTTAACGAATTTTGTATCATTCAAATCAATCGATATGAGATAAAAAGCAATAATGTACACTACCGGCCAAAAGTTTGGAATCACTGTGCATTGCAAGTTACAGAAAAATTCCCAGAAAAAAGTCAGCAGCTTTAAGAATTTTTTAACGAATTTTGTATCATTCAAATCAATCGATATAAGATAAATTTCTATGAAAAATTAGTAGCAGATTCAGTACTGATGAAAATTGGGAGGTGATTCCAAACTTTTGGCCGCTGGTCTATCTCTAGAGGGAAATTTCAATGGCGTAGTACAAGTATGGGCAACTTTATGGTAATTCGTGGAGTAAAGAGATGGTGTGATTAATTTTGGAAATACTTCTGAAGATGCAGCACAACGTGTCTGAAGATTTTTGTGAGAACAGCTAAAGTTGGATTAACAGGACGCAACTGTATCGAATACAGTATACGAGCCCATAAACGCGTCCCGACTCTTCAATGTTTCGCTTTTACGATCAGTAGACGTGATTTACTTCTTGTGTTCCCGAGCGTCTCAACGCTTCACGCTCGACGAGGGATCGCCGCTCGGCTGTAAGTTATGCACAGCCAGTGTGATATCCATAAAACACGTAGAGAAGGGGCCGAGGAAGTCATTACTATAGGAAAGTGTGGCAAATTGCGTGTAACACCCTCCCGAAAAGTCGCGGAGGCTTTACGCGTCGCCGGCTGCGCGACATTTCGATGAAACTCAACTCTTTTTCCGCTTCCCATGAAACGTACCATAGAACACTCTCACAAAGAGCTTCTCTTATATTGTACCACCCTTAAACAATTTATCTTAGCATATCACGGTGCGACTCTCTCAATCCCTTGAACAATTTCCTTTTATTCCAAAATCAGATTCTTTCACATCGTTCAGTCACACTTTAATTATTCTTTCGTGCAAACAATCGCTGGAATAATAAATTCGATCCCTTGAACAATTTCTATTTACTTCAAAACCGCTTTCTTTCACATCCTTCAGTCACGTTTTAATTCCTCTTTGAAGTAAATAATGTCAAAGTTACAATTACAAATTCTAAAGTGTAAAAAGGATCGCAATATCCACAAAACAATTGAGCAATATAAACACCGTTCGAATTTTACACAAATTTCCAATTTGTTCTCTATGGTTTTCCAGCAATTTCGCTAAATGACGAAATGGCACTTGGACGAATTAACACAAGTGTCGTCCACGGTGTCCAATTAATCAGTCGAAATGTGAGTGAAGGAGGGGTGGACGTGTGATCCCATCGAATGATTTGGGTCAACTGCAACCCTCCCCTGTACTGTATCGATGCGTTCGTG